CCAAATAGAACTGGATTTTTCCGGTAACAATGAAATTTTAGATCTGGAATATCTTGATTTATCATTCAACAAAATCGATATGATTGATATGAAAATTTTCAAATATCAAACAAAACTTCGTGTATTACGTCTCAAAGGCAATCAACTTTCATCATTACAGCTGGACAGTTTCATTGACTTACGTCAATTACAGGTGATAAAAGATCATCATTAAAATAGCATCAATAATAATGAAATAATTAATTTTAGGTAAAACAAAAAATAAAGCCTAATTAATTAATGTCAAACTGCAAACATTGTTACTTGCATAAAGTAAATGATGGAGTGAATTTCTTAGTTAAACTTAGTAAATATCTTTTCAAATCAAAATGATACCAATAAATTAATTATGCACTTTTAAGAATATTACATTGACAATACCTGAAAGGAATGATATTTATAGTTTGTAATAATGAAAGATAGTAATTATTGATTTTTTATTGTTACTATGTGGTTTTATCGATTAGTTTTTTTTCTTTTTTTTTTAATTATATTAACAAAATTATTTTTTTTTATTGAAAATTGTTGGTAAAGTTAATGGAAAAGGGTTGACAGAACAAGGAATAAATTGCTTGACATCATTAATCGAATATGTATCAAATAGACAATTTCTTCCTACCATATCCATCTCAAATTTCATATTTTGAAGCTCCTTTAGGTTAATTATTAACAATAATTTTCGGTATAATTATTAAGGAAATATGATGATGAAGAATGGAAGAGAAAAATGAATGACCTTTCACTTTTCAATTTAATACCTAAAAAAGAAAAAAAAATGGATCAGGAATTAAAATAAAAAATGAAAGGTTGATTATTTCTGTCAAGTAATGCTAATAATTCCATAATAATATTATTGATATTCTAATATTTAAAAATGTCACATAAAATTTGACAAAAAATTTGTTAATAATTAATTAATTGAAAATGAAAGGATAAATATTAATTGTAAATGTTCATCTTATCGTCATTATTTTATATAGCATGATGAACCAACGATGCATATTTTTATCTTTAATTATGATTGAAAATTTTCATTGACCATTTATTACATGCAAATTTTCATTTTGCGCTATATTTCAATATCAAATTAAATTTTGCTTTCTAAAAATTGGTGACATTTTTGGTGATATTTTAATTGCTAAAAGTGAATGACAAATTATTGTCAAAGTTTGGAAATAAAAATTGATAAAAATTTTCGAAAATTATATCAAAAATACAAATGAAATTGAATTATGAATTTGTAAATTAAGCAAATTTCCGATTGATAATATATAGCTTAAAAAAAAAAAAAATTGTGAATGAATGATGGATTAGCATATTTTATGAATTGCAAAAAAAAAGAAATTTATAAATTATAAGAAAAAAATATTACAGTTAAATCTTTTTTTTATTACTTAAACCATTTTGAATATTTTATGCAATTAATAAAATATATCAGAATTGAAGTACTCTTGTTATATTCTTCAATAAAATTTTTGAATTAAAATTTTTTAAATTTCTTATATATTGCAAAAAAATGTTATGGTTAAATTTTTTACTATTATTTAAACCATTTTAAGTATTTTATGCAATTAATAAAGTATATCAGAATTGAAGTACTTTCGATATATTCCTTTAATGAAATTTTTGAATTAAAATTTTTAAATTAAAATTTTTTTATACAGCAAAAAAAAATTAAAATTTTTAAATTAAAATTTTCTTATATATTCCAAAAAAAAATGTTATGGTTAAATTTTTGCTATTA